CAAAGTGGGATAAAAACAACAGCATGGAGGGAAGGAGGAACACAGGAAAGAAAAATAAAGAGAGAAGGAAGGAGAGAGAGAAATTAGAAATAAAGACAGACAAACTGACAAACGGACAGATAGAGGGAGTCAGGCAACTAGACGAACAGATAAACAGACAGACAGACAGGATTAAATAAGAAAAACCCTAAAAGTAACCATCAGCAACTTGTGAGAATTATGAAAAACTGACTCATTAAACAGAAATAAAAATAAAGCAGTGGCAAGAGATGGTAGACTTAGAGACCAAAAAAACAGCAGTAACCTAGCATCAAAAGCAATAACAACAACAACAGCAACAACAAATACAACAACAACAACAAATACAGCAACAACAACAACAACAACCACAACAACAACAACACAGCCATTAGTCTTTTTTCATATTTGGCCCCAAATTCTTTTTTTTTTCCTTCTAAATTGAAAGCCTGATCAGTTACCCAACTTGACTAGTAGTTTTTTAATAAATTACAATTCAATTTTTGGAAGAATGTCTTTTTCATAATATAGTTTAGCTGACAAAATGCCTCTTTATCTCGAAACTGCTGTGGATTTTTTTTAAAGGTGTTTTGTCAGCTTATGGCAAAACAGCAGAAACAACAACAACAACGACAACAACAACAGCAACAACAACAACAACAATACCAACAACGACAACAACATAACAGCAACAAAAACAACCACAACAGCAAAAAACATCAATAAAAAGCAAGACTGTAAATCCACTATAATATTATAATATATACACCACAAAAGAAATCCCTCCTAGATGATTCTGTACACTGTCCAGGAAAGTTGAGTACAAAAGACAGGCTACCCTTGTCCCAGAACATTGTCTCCTCTAGCTGGTGGTTTGCCTACAACGTGTGTGTGCTTAGACTGATCCGACAAATAATATGTCGTTGTTCTATTCGATTTTTTGTCACCAGACATTCCAACAGACAGGAATAGGTGTCACGACGCAGTGGAATCAGGCGCTCGTCAATGTAAGGGCATGTGGAGTTATTGGTGTCATCTTAAAGGCTGTTTATGTGCTTTGCCTTTATTTTTAAAATGTCCATCTTTCGTGAATAGAAGTTGAAATATTTGCGATGGAATAAAGTGGAAGTAGCCTGATTTCAGAGATAAAGTCAGTGAGAAAATGGCTGCCAAAGTTACATGACTTCTATAGTTTTAGAGTCTACGAAAACTAAAAATTTACATTTTTTGTGCCTTTAATCATCGTTTTTCTATAACATACACACAGAAATTGTGTTTTTAAATGGACATAATAGATGTTGAGCAAAAAAAAAGTGAAAAAAATTGCCCAACGGCAAGAAAACTGCCAATTTCTTTGATTTCATTATTTTGACAAGTGCCTGATTTCACCTCGATGCTTCACATATACGTACACACACATACACACACACACACACACACACACACACACACACACACACA